AGTAATTTACAGGAGCACATCTCATGGGATCCCCTCCATGCCTTTCCTGCCAAAGGTGGGTGTGGCTGCACCTCTTCCACAGAGGAGGAGACTGAAACCCAGAGAGGTCAGGAGACTTTTCTGAGATCACCCAAAAAGGCAAGGGCTGGGCCGAGCACAGTGGCTTACGCCTGCAATCCTAGCACTCTGGGAGGCCAAGGCGGGAGGATCACTTGAGGTCAGGAGTTTGAGACCAGCCTGAGCAAGAGTGAGACCCTGTCTCTATTAAAAAGAGAAAAAATTAGCCGGGCATGGTGGCGCGTGCCTGTAGTCCCAGCCACTCAGCAGGCTGAGGCAGGAGGATGGCTTGAGCTCAGAAGTTTGAGGTTGCTGTGAGCTAGGCTGACGCCATGGCACTCTAGCTCAGGTGACAGAGCGAGACTCTGTCTCAAAAAAAAAAAAAAAAAAAAAAAGGCAAGGGTTGAAGCTCACCAGCACTCCCCAGCACTCTCCTCACAGCCTCACAGCCCCTGCGAAGGAGTAAAGGAGGCAGCTCACAGGTGCTGAGGTCATCTGGCCGCTGCCTTTCCTTCCATCCTTCTGTCCTTTCTCCTCCCCTTGCTCTTTGTCTTCCTCTAAGCTCTAGCTTCCTCCCTTTTTCCTTCCTCTTCCTTTTCCTCCAGTGCCTTCCCTACCTCTGCCTGTCCCTGCAATTTTGTTCTAATTTCCACCCAAGGCCCCTTTACCTTCACTATCTACTACCCACTTTTTGCTGCCCAGCCCCTCCCCAAGGAAGGGTTGGGTGCCTACCTTGCTCACAGCCTCTAACCTTTTCTAGATTAACTAAGAGGACTCAGGCCAGGGAAGTATCCAATCATCTTCCTCTGCTTTTCTACTGCCCACCCCAAGCTAGAATATGAAATAGTCAGAGAGCTGTGCAAGTGGGCAGCCAGGCCCAAGACCCAAATTTCTTCTCTGAAGCCTTGTGTTAGGAGATTGGTGGTACTGGCTTGCATTGCTAGGAGACATCAAGAGCCAGGAAAATGTGAAAAGAGAGACTGCTAGCATCTCCAGTGTATACCTCACTCACTTATTCATTCATTCATTCATTTGATATATGAACCAGGCACTGTCTAGGTGCTGGGGATACCAAACATCCCTACCATCTTGGAGCTCGCATACCAGCAGAAGGGGATAATTACAAAGCAAACTAGTATATTCTCAAGGTAATTACAGATTAGGAGAAGAGCTGTGAAGCAAATAAATAGGGTGATGCATTGGAGTGTAGCTGGGTGTTGACTGGGAGGTCAGACCTTTATGAGGAGGGTTTATTTTAACTGAGATAGGACTGAGAATGAGCCAGCCAGGTAGAGTCTGAGGTGAGGTTTCAGACAGAGGGAACTGGAAGTACAAAAGATCTTGATTAGTTTGAAGCCCCACGGAAAGGCTAATGGGCCAGAGCTTAGTGAAAGAGGTCTAGAGAGTGCCATGAAATGAAGATGGAAATCTGTAGCCGGGGCAGGAATATGAAGGGAAAGCTATTTAAGAGCTTTGAGCAGGAGAAAAACTGATGGAATTTATTTATTTTTTTGTTGCCGACGTTAAACAGTATTTACATTATTAACTATGTAAATATTCATTGTTGAATGCTATAGCATTATTGCATTTCATTTGTTCTACAAGGTTGTTTTTGGGTTGAGTTGATAAGTGGATTTGTTTTACAAAGTTGTTTTTGGCTGGGTTGCTTCATTTTTTTCATTTTCCTTTGCTAGTTTTCTATAGATTATCACTAATTCTTTTTACATCTTCCATTATCTTTCCAATACCGTTTTTTCATGCAACTAAATGCATCAATACTCTATCAGCTCCATTTTTTCTTTCCTGGAAGCCTCCCCAGCTCCTGGTCCAGTGTGGGCTGGTTGCTCTTTGAGCCTGCTGTATGTACAGCTTTTACCTTCGCCTTTCTCCTGTGCCAGGTGACATTTCCTGGATCCCAAGTTTTTCTCTTGGTTTGCTCCCTTGTTTTGCTGGGGTACATCTTCCAGTAGTTTCTTGAGAGTGCATGAGATGAAGCCATTTTGATACCTTGCATGCCTAAAAATACCTTTATTCTACTTGTTTGAAAAATATGGCTTGGTATAGATTTCCACATAAAAAATCATTTACCCTCAGAATTTTGAAGACATTGTTTTATAGTTTTCTTGCTTCCAATCCAATGTTGAGAAATCTGATGTCATTCTTATCCCCAGATCTTTGTATGTGATCATAGTGACTAGAAGCATGCATTTGGGAGTCAGACTTTTCACAAGACTGCCTTCGTGACTTGGATAAATTTCTTAATCTCCCCATACCTCAGCTTCCTCATTTGCAAAATGGAGTTGTTGGAAGATTAGTACATATAAAGTCTGTAGTGCCTAGCACAGAGTATGCACTATATAAATACCTGCTATTATTATTCTTGGGTCTCTTTATCATACCTGGCATTTCCAACATTTTGAATTTTTCTTTTTTTTTTTTTTTTTGAGACAGAGTCTCACTCTTTTGCCCTGGCTAGAGTGAGTGCCATGGCGTCAGCAACCTCAAACTCCTGGGCTCAAGCGATCCTACTGCCTCAGCCTCCCGAGTAGCTGGGACTACAGGCATGTGCCACCATGCCCGGCTAATTTTTTTCTATATATTTTTAGTTGTCTGATTAATTTCTTTCTATTTTTAGTAGAGACGGGGTCTCGCTCTTGCTCAGGCTGGTTTCGAACTCCTGAGCTCAAACAATCCGCCCGCCTCGGCCTCCCAGAGTGCTAGGATTACAGGCGTGAGCCACAGCGCCCGGCGCAACATTTTGAAATTTAATAAAATTAGCATGAGTTTTTAAAAATTCACTATGCTGGAATTCAAGAGACTTACAACTTGTACATTTTAGAAAACTTGTATTCTCTGCTAACTTTTTTCTTCCATCTGCAAATACTTTCTGGAACTCCTCTTAGATGTTGAATCTCCTGATTCACCTCTGATTTTCAAACATTTTTCTCTTCTATCGTGTATCTTTTTGTCTTGTTTGGTTTATTTTCTGTTAAATTTCCTCAATTTTATATTATGTCTCCTACTGAATTTTTAAATTTTAGCTTTATTTTTATATTCTAAGTGTGGTGTTCTCTTAATTGTTGCTTTGTGGATAATTTATCCTCTTTTATCTCTTTTTTTCCCCTTCTACTCCTCTGTATTGTCTCTTTCCTCTGAGTTTTTTTTGTTTGCTTTGACTTGTTTCAAGTTGGAGGCTTGCCTCAAATGTCTGGCAATCCTTGACTGCTCACATTTAAGAATGAGGCATTAAAAAGTTTAATGTGGGCAGAGCAGGGTGGCTCATGCCTGTAATCCTAGCACTCTGGGAGGCCAAGGTGGGAGGATCCCTTGAGCTCTGGAGTTCAAGACCAGCCTGAGCAAGAGCAAGACCCCATCTCTACGAAAAATAGAAAATTAGCCAGGCATGGTGATGCATGCATTGAGCCCAGGAGTTTGAGATTGCAGTGAGCTACAATGATGCCACTGCACGCTACCCTGGGCGACAGAGTGAGACTCTGTCTCAACAACAACAAAAAGCTTAATGTGCTTCAGTGAAGCTTTTCAACCGGGAGGCTTCATGGTAGTGATTTTTATAGGGGGCTGCCCAAATGTTTGTATTTATGTGTCTTTTTTTCTGGGCATATTCATTTTCTCTGGTGTATTCTCGTCTTTTACCTGTGCCAAGGAGGGGATGGTATGAGCTTTTTGGCCAGTGTTATTTATTTAGAGACAAAGTTTCACTATGTCACCCAGAATGGACTTGAACTCCTGGGCTTGAACTCCTAGGTTCAAGCAATCCTCCCACCTCAGCCTCCTGAGTAGCTTGGACTATAGGCACACCACTGCACCAGTTTGGCCAGTGTTTTCGTTTTGTTTTTCGAGACAGAGTGTCGCTCTATCACCCAGGCTGGAGTACAGTGGCCTGATCATAGCTCACTGCAGCCTGGAACTCCTGGGTTAAGGTGATCCTCCCAACTCAGCTTCCCCAGTAGCTAGGACTACAGACATGTGCCTGTACCACAACACCCGACTAACTTATTTTTTTTTTTTTTTTGTAGGGTTTGGGTCTCACTATGTTGCCCAAGCTGGTCTCCAACTCCTGGCCTCAAGCAATCCTCCTGCCTTGGCCTCCTAATGTGCTGGGATTACAGGTATGAGCCACTGGGCTTGGCCTTGGCCAGTGTTTTTAATAACTAATTGAGGAAGGGGGCTGGGCAGTCTCATTTTTCAATTTTCTTCTGTTTTGAGTCAAGCTCCCTGTCCTCTGCTGTGCCTGGTGTTCCTGACTTTCCTTTTACCTGCAGAGGTGAGAGGCAGTCACCTTGCTATGTGAAATGGGGAGAGGAGTTTGAGAACTATGAAAGCTAATTATGGGCTCCACATGATGGCACAAGCCTGTAATCCTAGCACTGTGGGAGGCCGAGGTGGATCACTTGAACCCAAGAGTTCAAGGTTGTGGTGAGCTATGATCATGCCACTGCACTCTGCACTTTACCCAGAGCAACAGAGCAAGACTGTCTCAAAAAAAACAAAAACAAAAACAAAAAGCTAATTACCCTATGTATAAACTTTCAATCAGTATCTGTTTTTACCCCACCCCTCACCCACCTTCCTAAGTACCTCCAGAGCGTATCTTCTTGCCTGTTTCCCCCACTCTGAAGGATTCCTGTTCTGCTAAGTCAGTTACCTCTCTTCCACCTCCTTTCCACTTTCCAAGAATTGTTGACACCTTTCTTTTGTTATTTCCTCCCAAACCCTCTAATCCTTGGGGCTTATGCCTTCATTGAGTCCTTTCCTGTCATCTCAGGGGGAAGATACAAACCTAAATCTGGGTGTTAAACCCCCTGGCCCACCAGGATCAGGTTAAACACTCTCACTCTCCACTTTTCCAGACTCTAAATGTATCAACTGGTTCATTTTATAAGACTGTATTGAATTTCAAGGAACCAACCCTTAGCCAGAAGAGTTTTTCAACAAATTCCCTTTTTATTTATTTAGCTAGAAGTTATTCTTTATTGATTGAATCACCAGGAATTTTCAGCACAAGATTTACCATCTTAATGACCACCAAGGCCTGGGCTCTGGGACTTGCTCTGCTTCTCCCAGTCCTTAAATGGGGTTTACAGGGAGAGACGTCATGAACAGAGACCAAGTCGGATGGTGGCAGGTCCTCCTTTCCCAGCCATTGGACAAGCTGCTCAATTCTTGTCCAGAGCAGGAAAGAGCCAGTACTTAAGAAAAATCTAACAAAGAATTTAACATTGTATTATAAGATCTCTCTTAACAATTTAGATTTATCAACACTATTGGTCCAAACACATTTGCTTCTGATCTAAATTTTTTTCATTCTGCAATTTACTTTTTGTGTTATTTTAATAAACAATCTCACTCCCTGTGCAGTAATGAGTCAACCTAGTGCAAAGAAAAATCCCTCAAACCCCAATTGCCTCATCTTACTTTGGAAAGAGGAAACAGAGGTTTTTCTGCTCCTGTTCTACTCAAGATGAACAAACATCCCCCCAAAGTTCAAAATGTTACTTCTGGCCTTGGAATGTACATAGAGGCAGCTTTTGATGGGCTGATTCAAATCACCTAGAAAGGGCAGCTGGAATCACTATGCAGGCAGCCTTCTTTGGAAATTTCTTAAAATCAACTCTTGAGAATCATTCAGGATTGTGTAGAAAGGCTCTAAGGTCCACACAACTTCTGCTATTTCATCTCACGAGCTGGGCTCAGAGGAGGCATTGGAATTGTCAGGAGCAAGAGCAGTAACAGTGGCTCCACGAGGTAGGACCTCAATAACTCGAGGCTTGTCAATGATCCGGGCCGTCCGGTTTCCCTTTTCCACAATGCCAACAATCCATGCTTGGTGACCCTCTCCGTACTTGGAAGATTTGATTTCAGAGCAAAAGCGAGCTGCCTGTTCTCTTGGCAGACAAATCAGTAATCCCCCAGAGGTTTCAGCTGAGGTTCCCTGAAGGAGCCCAAACCTCCCACTGGCCTTGCTGATGGCAGCCATCTTGGCAATGATTGGCAGATTATGAATGACAAAGGACACTTCATTTCTTTGTTGTCTTGCAAGGTTCTGAGAGTGTCCTAGAATGCCAAAACCTGTGATATCTGTGGCTGCATGGGCATTAAATGTGTGCATTAATCCAGCAGCAGTTCTGTTTAAGGTAGCCATATTGAACATAGCTTCCTGATAGGCCAGCTCTACCTCTTCTCTAGAAACTACCATCTTTACTTTATTCCATCTTTCAGGATTATCCAGCCATTGGTGGGCATTGACAGCAACTTGGGTTCCTAAGGGTTTGGTTAACACGAGCACGTCCCCAACAACCGCACTGTCGGGCATTATGAATTCATTTGGCTGACACACCACAGTGGCAACTCCACCGATGATAATCCAAGGGTTGACCACCGTCTGTCCACCAGTCACTGCTGTCCCTCCTTCCTCAGCAGCATCCCGAAAGCCTTTGATCATGAGTGGTGTTATCTTTTCCCGTTCCTCCTCACTCATACTCTGGCTGACACTGAGTAACATTAACATGTTGTCACATTCAGTAATGCCCATGGCGTAGAGGTCACTCAGCACGTTGGCACAAGCTATGCGCCCCATCATGTAGGGATCTTCCACCAAGGGGTAAAAGAAGTCCGTGGTCTGCACCAGCGACAGGCCCCCATGCCTCAGGGGGATGACGCAGGAGTCCATCCCAATGCCCAGGGCTGGAAGGGGTGGGCTGGGGCCCGCTTCAGTTGGCAGGCAGGCTTCCTGGGCTGCCTCTTCCTGGCCTCCGACCAGGCCCCGGCCCAGCGGGGGCCGTACTGCCGGCCCCGTTAGTCCCGCCAGGAGTTTGAGCAGCGTCTCCTGCGGGACCTTGCAGCCTCAGCCCTTCATGCCGGAGAAGCCTGTCAGCCGCCAGCTCGGACTGAGACCCAACGCCTGGGGCTCGAAGGGCCGGTAGTTCGAGAAGCCCCGGCCCAGAGACGAGCCCCCTGGGCCCGAGGAGCCGTCCGCCGCCGCCATCGCCTCTCCGCCGGCGCCCATCGCCGAGGCTTCCGCCATCGCGCCTGCCGGGCAGGGAGGGGACGGGAGAAGAGGAGAGGGCCTTTTTCGTCTCTACTCAGGGTAATGGGAAGTAACAGTCAAATATTACCCGCAGAGATTCTCCCCGGCACGACTCGCGCCATCCGACTCACGTCACGCGATGCGTCCCTGGCCTTCCTGAGGGAGGAGCCACCGGCCTCTCGTGTTTATACCCCTAGTGATTGACAGCCGCACCATCCAATGACGACTCCGCCACCGGGAGGCGGGCTTCCTTTACTCTAAAAGACAAATTACAAATCAGCCCCCCGGCTTGAAAAACTGCTCCAAGAGAGATTGCAGGCGTCACGTGCTGTACTTTGCTGTCCTTGTCGCTTAAACGATTTCTGGTAAGTGGCTGGCAGGACTTTGCTCCCCTCGAGTCACTTTACCAAGTTCAACATCTCACAAAGGACGATGGGTCACTCGGCAAACCTTGTGACGGTCACAATTGTCCAAAGGTCACTAGACAGTGCGCATGATCAATTCAGGGTAGAAAAATAGCCAAGAGAAAAACAGGAAAGAATGTGAAATTAAGTTTCTACCATTAAGTAAGCAAACTTCAGGATCAATATTTTGAAATATTAACGTGGACTTTAAAGAAATTTAGTACTTAAAAGTCCAGAAACCTGCATGAATACCGATGCTGTTTCCGCCACTAGCTGTGAGTCACTTTTCCTCTCCTGGGGCCAGTTGACTCATCTGTGGAACAGAGTAGGTTACCAAGGTCTATTCTATTCTAAAGTTCTATATCCAAGTTAATGTATATGAAAATATGATATACCCATGGAAGGCAGTTTGCCAATATCTGTTAAAATTACAACTGCACGAAATACCTTTGACCCAATAGTTACAATTCTAGGATTCTGTCCAACTGATGTACTCAGCAGTATGGGAAAGGATACCTTATTTATTGCTGTGCTGTTTGTAAAATCAACCAAGATATTGGAAAAATTTAAATGTCTATCAATTATGACTAAAATCAGTTATGATACTTTTATATAATAGACTGCCATGCAACTGTAAAAAGGAGAAACCTTTATGTAATTATATTGATAGTTACAGTTCTAACAGGCGCAATTCTAAATGCTTTACATATATTAACTAATTCTCATAAAAACCATATGAGTTAGGATTCTTTTTCTCATTTTACAGATAAGGAATATGAGGCACAGAAAGGTTAGAAGACTTATTCAAGGCCACAGCCAGCTTAGAGTGGAGCTGGGACATGAATCTAGGCAATTTGCTCCAAAGACCACCAGGTTTTTAGAAATGATGTTTAGAGAAACAAGTAAGATTCAGAACAGTATGTATGGAATCCTAGTATTTGTTGGAAAAGGGAGAAAATATACTCAATAGCATATTTCTGGACCAGCAGTCACCAGAAACGGGTAATATTGGTTGCCTGTTGGGAAGAAATGAGTTGGTTGGGGGACAAGAGATTTTTTATTGACTTATCATTTTGTTTCTTTAACATCTGGAACTTTAAAAAATATTTTAAAATATTTGAGTGTATTACCTACTTTTAAAAAGTAACTGCTTATGGGAGTATAAACTGGTGCAACCATTTTGGAAAAAAGTTTGGCCTTAACTAATAAAGTTGAACATGTACAAACCCAACGCCCCACCAATTCCACCCATAGACGTGCCCTAGAGAAACTCTTACACAACCATGTACAAGAATGACTGTAAGAGTTCTGGAGATTGGTTGCACAACAATGTGAATGTACTTAACACTACTGAATTGTACACTTAAAAATGGTTAAGATGGTATATTTTATGTTATGTGTATTTTACCACAATTTAAAATATTTATAAAATTACAGGAGATACTTATAGATCTTATAGTACATCATTACATTTGGCTTTTATTACTGCATAATACAGATTGAGGTATGGAGTGAATTGAAAGGAGCTTGAATACTAGAATCAGACTGAGTTGCAATCTTGGCTCTCCCAATGACCTTGGGCAAATTATTCTCAGAACCTCAGTTTCGTTACTTGTAAAATAGTTCTTCACTTGAAGATAATAATAATACAAAACAGGAGCATTATGAGAACTAAATGAAAAAAAATGTTTGAACAGTACTTAGCACAGTTCCTGGCGGATGGTAAACTCAAAATAAATGAGAGAACCTGTTATCGTACAGTACTGTTAATGTGGATGTAGGACTGGACTTTAAATTTACAAAACTGGCCAGGTGCAGTGATTCATGCCTGTAATCCCAGTGCTTTGGGAGGCCGAGGCAGGAGGATCACTTGAGCCCAGGAGTTCAAGGCTGTGGTGAGCTATGATCTGGGGCCACTGAACTCCAGCCTAACAGACAGAGGGAGATGCTGTCTATAAATAAATAAATTTATAAAACTTATAACATCTTGGGAAGTTTTTTCAAAATTCATTTATCTTCCTAAAAAAAATGACTGTAAGAGCAAAACACTGAAAACAACGCAAATGTCTGCTAACAGGGGAACGCATAAATAAACTGTGGTATAATCAAACAATGGGAATATTATTTATCTTCAAAAATGAATTATAGGCCGGGCGTGGTGGCTCACGCCTGTAATCCTAGCTCTCTGGGAGGCCGAGGCGGGTGGATTGTTTGAGCTCAGGAGTTCAAAACCAGCCTGAGCAAGAGCGAGACCCCATCTCTACTAAAATTAGAAAGAAATTAATTGGACAACTAAAAATATATAGAAAAAATAAGCCGGGCATGGTGGCACATGCCTGTAGTCCCAGCTACTCGGGAGGCTGAGGCAGGAGGATCGCTTGAGCCCAGGAGTTTGAGGTTGCTGTGAGCTAGGATGACGCCACGGCACTCTAGCCCGGGCAACACAGTGAGACTCTGTCTCAAAAAAAAAAAAAGAAAAAAAGAATTATAGGCATAACCATCCTCAATATGGATAATCTCAAAAACAAAATGTTGGGTATAAGAAGCAAGTTACAGAAGAATACATAAACTAAGATACCATTTATATAAAGTTCAACACCAGGCAAAACAATAATATATTGTTAAAAGAGACATATATAAAAATAACAACTTTTTATAAAAGGCAAGAGAATGAACACAACATTTAGCACAGGGGTTATTTCTGGGGAGAGGTACACAGGGAGCTTCTGGGCTACGTTAAATTCTATTCATTAGACTGGTAGTGGGTACCTGATTTTTTTGTTTCTGTTTTTGTTTTTTTTGGGTAGAGACGGACTCTTGCTGTTTTGCCCAGGCTGGTCTCGAACCCCTGGACTCAAGTGATCCTCCCACCTAAGCCTCCCAAAGAGCTGAGATTAACAGGTGTGAGCCATGACACCAGCCCATGGTTGTTCTTTAAACCTGTACATATATATTTTCCCACACTATTTTTGTAACTAAGCTATATTTCAACATTAAAAAAAGAAAGTATGCTATATTTCAGAATTTAAAAAAAAAAGAAAAAATGATATAGTGAAAAAATTGATATGGAGGCAAAAGACCTCCAGATTTTGTCTGACCTCTGCATGGCTCTCAATGACCTGTCTGACCTTGAGGAAGTTATACAACCTCTGCACCTTAGTTTTCACTTCCAATAAACAAGACTTATAATCTCTGCTTAGGATCTGGTGCAAGGACCATATGAAAACCTCAACTGTGCAAAGATTTTTGCAAAATGTTCAGCATATTATACATGTGAAGGATCTTCATATCACTAAGGGAATAAGGAAAACAGTCTACTAAGTGTGTAAGCACCTCACCTGAGTTGAAAAGTGACTAGATCGGGTGCCACTAGTTATACACTCCATTATAAATAGTTCTTTGGACTTTTCCCTCTCAGCATTTAGGACAATTTGTAATCCCTTATTCATGTGATGATGCCAAGACTGTCTGCCTGATAGTTTGTAAGCTCCACAGAGCTCTATTTAATCCCCCTTGTTGTCCTAGAACTTAACATGGTAATGACATTGGTTGAATTAATAAATCATTTTATACAATTATCTGTGCAAATTTGCTGAGCACATATGATGAGCCAGACACAAGGCCAAGCATTCTGTGTTTATTTTTCTCCTCGTTTAATCCTCACAGCAGCCCCAGGAAATTGGCATTATTATTTCCATTCTACAGATGAGGACACTGAGGTCCCTGAGAGGTGAGAGTCTAGGGCAGGGCCACCAGTTAGGAGCAGCATAATGAAAGTGCAAAGCCAGGACTGTCACACCTAAAGGTTGGTGCTCTACCTCTTGCCCGAGGGGCCTCCTTCATAATACTAACAACCCCACACCACGCCCCTGTAAGAAGCAGGTCTCTTGGTGTGAAGTTTTCATTTTTCATCCTTATAGTTCCCTGTTGCTTCTACTTAGGAGTGGTCTTCACTTGGGCCAGTGCAAGAAAGTCATGAATTTGCCTTGGCCAGTAACCAACCCACTGGGCTCAGAACGACAAGTTCACGTGCCTTTGTGCAGGAGATGCACATGAGCTTCTTCCAAGGGCGATCTTTGTGACTATACATCCTACCATTTGAATGCATCCTTTTAATCTTTTTCTGCTCACTGAGAGATCCACTGAACTACATTTACCATTTAGGTAGAACATGTGGGTCACAGATTACAAAGGTAAAATCCTGGGGGTGGGTAAGGTGGGGTCGGGGGCGGACAGGCAAAGAAGAAAGAGAAGTTTGAAAGAATAAGAGGACTTGAGTCCCAGCCCCTGGATTGCCCTGTACACGCAGCGAAAGCATTTGGGTTAGCTATGGGTTTTTATTCCATTATGATAATAATTTACAGTTATAACACTACACTTGAAGGTTCAGTACACTTAAAATTTTTTTAACGTGGTAAAATATACATAGCTTCAATATACTTTTAAGTCCAATTTTTTCTTATTACAAAATCATTATGTTGTTATTGTAGAAAATCATAAAGTACAGTTTAGCAAAAAGGAGAAAAGTTAAAATAACTTGAAATCCCACTTCCCAGAGAGAAGTCCTATTAATGCTTTAATGCTGCGGCCCCGAAGTCCCAGGCCTCAGACCTATACTGGTCCATGGCCCTAGAAACTGGGTGGCACAACAGGAGGTTAGTGGCAGAGGTGAGTCGGCGGGCCAGCAAGCAAAGCTTCATCTGTATTTACAGCCGCTCCCCATGGCTGGCATCACTGCGTAAGCTCCGCCTCCCGTCAGATCAGCAGTGGCATTAGATTCTCATAGGAGCGTGAGTCCTACTGTAAACTGCCCATGG